TGATACAGCAGCAGCTGGCCCAGACCCCAGCCCAGAGCACGAGGAGCAGTGGACACCGCATGCTGGGAGCGGGCAGGCTGCAGCCGGGACACCTGCAGGGACTCTGAACGCGCCGTGTGCCTAACCACCACCTGCCACGGGACTTTGGACCTGGATGCGATTGTGGAGCCTGCCTGCCCCGTGGGAATGACCAGGAGAGGATTTTACAGCTCTGGGAGCAGGGCCCACCTGGCGCCGCCCGTGTGCAGCGATTACAGAGCGCTGGCTCAGCACTGCTCCGTGCACACCTGCGGGCACGAGGCCTGCTCCACACAGATGCACTGGCCAGGAGCGCCAGGTCGGGACCGAAGGGCATGGGCACAGCTTGGCTGGCAGGGGGCTGCAGGTCAGGGCTGAGGGGCACCGGCAAAGCCATTGGGAGGTGCAAAAGCCACCAAGCTGCTGCCCAACCTGCCCATGCACCCACCCCTTGGGGATGTGCCCTTTGGCCCCCCGAAGAAAAATCCCTCTGAACAGAAGGGGAGGAAGAGATGCTGGAGCATGCACAATACTCCGGGTCTGAGGGCTAATGCACGGCTTTCCAGTCGCCCTGCATCTCAGGGCAGTGGACGGGTGATGGATAATGGCTGGTGAAGTGAACGGGCCATGGCAGGGGGTCCTGAGCACCCAGGACCAGCCGGAGTGGGGGAACAAAGGGCGGCCCCTCCAGCATGGCGATCCAGGGACCCGGCTGAGCCCCTTCACCCCGCTGCCCCCATTCAGGCCTGCCCAGAGGCCCCCCCAGCCACCTGGGGAGCACGGAGGGAGGGGGCAACGAAGCAGCAGTCAGCAGATCCTTCCTGGGGGGCAGCAGGGGCTTTATTACAAAATTATATACACGGCAGGGCCTGAGGACACTTGGTTCCACCCGGGGTCCAGGTCCCAGGGGTCCCGGTGGGGCTGGTGGGACCTGCTCTTAGACCCCCAGCAGGCGGGAGGCTGCGGCCAGGGCGAGGAGGCTGGGCGGGAGGAAGGGGGAGAGACCCGGGCTGCCGGATCTCCCGCTGGGCGCCAGGCACTCGGGACCTGCATGGTAGGGCTTGAGGCATCCCGCGTAGGCCATGGCATGGGCGATGTAGTTCTGCTCCTGGATGCCGTGGAAGAGGTGGGCCATGGGGCCCTTGGCCATGACGGCCACGTCCTCGCCGGCATGGGTCTCGGAGTCCAGGGGCACGGCTGCCTGCTGCCGGTAGTCTTTGTCCTCTGTGGGCGAGAGGCTCTTCAATACCGACCCCAGTTCCCAGCTACCCCCTACTCGCACGCCCCCAGAGCCCGCCAGGCCAGCTGGTGAGTGCTGGGGCCTGGGGGGCACGGCTGGCTGGTCACTGGAGCACCTTATAGACAGCTCAGCGCCACCAGCTCCAGCTGAATGGTGAGTCACGGGGTCAGGTGACTCATGTGCCCAGCAATCACGCAGATAAAATCCTGCCCCCGCTGCACAACAGGAGATAAGCACCACCCGTCCATGCATATCTGCCTGCAAAGCACCCTGGGGCATCATTTGCTGAGTGGCTACCAAAAGCACTGAGACCCAATGTCCCATTTGCCAGGGGCAGAGCAGGATCAATCACAGATGCCCTCTGGGTGTGGGCATGGGGCAGAGACCTGGCAAACTTTGCTAAAAAGGTGGCCTACACCCAATGGAAAGAAAGGGTCATCACCAAGGAGGGCTAATCTGCAGTTGCTCGGGGATGTAGGGGGGTAGTTAGGAAGGCCAAGGCAGAGATGGAACTGGGACTGGCTTCCCGGATTAAGGACAATAAGAAGTCCTTTTTTAAATACAGAGGGAGTAGAAAGAAGGTCCCAGGTAATGTGGGGCCCTTGCAGGATGCGTTGGGAAACTTGGTCGTCACACCAGATGACAAAGCTAACATGTTTAATGATTTCTTTGCCTCTGTCTTCCTAAGTAGGGACCAGAACAGCAACCTCCCAGCCGGGCCCCCTTCAGGCCCTGGGGGAGGCACACCTGGGCCAAGGGTTAGC